AGTTTTCTAAAACTTTTGATAGTTTTGCGTACGAGTACACTCCTAATGCCCGTATGATACTACGTTTTTTTCTTGTATTTCGAGTGTATTTTACGCTGTATTTTGAAAGAAAGAGAAGGTCACATACAATTTCAGTACTTGTGTAAGCGAGTAAGCTATATACCAAAAAACAAACGAAAAACAAACTAGGTTGTTAAAAACAGTCCGGCCAACTTGTATTTCGTTAGGTTTTTTTGACAGATGGCTGTATTTCGTTAGTTTTTTTACACAGCAGTTTGCATTTTGACATACGAGAGATTTTCTAAGCATACAATGGAAATACAAGTTTTATCCATTGCAACAAATTGTTTGCTAAACGCTGCTGCCTTAATACAGCGTAGGAAAAAGAAAAAGACTAAAAAAAAATATTTTGCGCAATGGCTTTTAAAAAGAGAACTGGAAGGTAAGTTTCGAATTCCACATTATATACACATGTATATAGTTCGTTTTTGTAATTATCAAAAATACTTTTTATAGGATTTAGCCATAAACTGTTAAAGGAAATTGAGTGCGAGGATTCAATCCTTCACAAAAATATCTTAAGAATGACTCCAGCTCAGTTTGCATTCTTATTAGAAAAAGTACGCCCCTATATTAGCAAGCAGGATACAAAATTCAGGAACTGCATAGGAGCTGCGGAACGGCTGCAGCTGACATTGCGATATCCATCCAGTGGTAAGATATAATATTTTCTTGGTAATTTTTAGTACCGACATACATATGTATGTACATATTTCCAAAATTAGGTGAAACCCAAAGGTCACTTCAATTGCCGTTCCGAATTCAGCAGTCAACCATTTCCAGAATTTTAAAGGAATCTATTCCCGCAATATATTTGGCGTTAAGGGAGGAGTATTTGAAATTCCCTGCAAGTGAGCAAGATTAGCGTGATATTGCAAAAGACTTTTATCAGATGTGGGGATTCCCGAACTGCATCGGCGCTTTAGATGGTAAACTAACAATTAACACTTTTAAATTCACTCAACTGATGAAACGTCTCAGGAAAGCATTGCAGAATACTGCCAGTGAGGAAAGCAGGATCTACGTATTTCAATTACAAAGTATACCATTCATTTGTATTGATGGCAATCGCTGATGCCCACTATCGTTTTATTTATGCTGATGTCGGTGTTAATGGGAGAGTGGGTGATGCTGGAATTTGGTTGAACTCGGACCTGAAATACGCTATTGAAAAAAATGAAGTACATATACCAGCCCCATGCACGCTCCCTTTCATGTCAACTCCCTCGCCTTTTGTGCTTTTAGCCGATGATGCCTTTGCTCTAAAAGACTACTTAATGAAACCTTACTCTCATCTAAGACTATCACCAAGCGAACTTAAATACAACAACATACTTTCGAGGAACAGGCGCGTTGTTGAAAATGCTTTTGGCATTCTTGCGAACCGTTTTCGAGTTTTATTTTCACCCATCCATCGCGTTCCAGCTGCAGCCATTCAGATTGTATTATCTTGCGTATGTGTGCACAACTTTTTAAGAACAGAAAATGTGAAAAAGAAAACTACGTTTGACGCCATTTCCGAAAGTGAAATAGATGCAATAATAGATAACAACTATACAACAACCGCTTCTGAAAGAAATGCGTCAAAAAGGAGCGCTGAGGAAATAAGAAAAACTTTCGAAAACTATTTTTCTGCGGTAAATTAAAATATCGTTTCATTGTTTAAATAAACCAAAACTTTTCGTGTTAGAAATTTTCCATACTAGTAGAAGCAACAATTGGTTTATTTTGTGATTAAATAAATGAGTACAATGTCTTCAATTTATGTACTAGTAGGTATGTAATACCTGCCTACTTAGCGGTGCACCGTGAGTAGTACAAACACTGTTACATTTTTGATTCAATTAGAGCAACCAAATACTTTAATGAAAGTAATAATAAGGTAAAAAAGTGGTAAGAATAATCAAAATACATATTCACTCGGCAAAATAATAACTCTGCCTCCTTTCGTAAAGTTTGACTATTTTCCTTTTATTTATTGAACTTTAATAATTTACTTATAAAAATACACCCCATTAATTAAAAATCTTTAAACTTGGCAATATGTGGTGCGTTTATAATTATGACACGGGATGTATAGTTAACTCTACAAACAAAACCATATCAATAAAACTTTTAAACTTTAAACGAAATTTAGGAACACTCATCAAAATTTCGATTTTTGTCTTTTAAATATTAAAAAGAAAATTGCATGTCTGTGTAGATGTGTAATTTTTATGTAATAAATGGCAAATTTCAAGTGGCTTAAGATCACCGTTAATTTTGGGTATTGTTTTTTTTAAGCAACAACCCATTTTGTTTTTGAAATACTTAAAAGGAAGTTCGAAATTGTTATGTAATTTTATGCATTTTCTTGAATTTTGTTTAAAGTTTAAAGCTTCTAGTGATATGTGTTTGGTTGTAGAGTTAACTAAAGTTTTATAAATAAGTTATTAAAATTCAATAACCTACGGAAAATGGTCAAAATATGACAAAAAGGGACACTCCTATTTTTGTCTATGAGTGTACATACATACATATAAATTGTCATTGTGTTACATAAGCCCATTCCGTTTCAATTGTTCACTTTGCAGATCCATCAAAATGTCACGCATTTGTTTCTTCGCTTTGAGTTGCAAGTCGGGGTCCAGTTTTACAATTTCTTCACCCATGTATATCCCAAAACTGTTTGCCTTTTCGTCAGTGTTATTTGTTTTTGATGCAACATTAAAGGCTTTTGTTAAATTTTGTGATGCTTCGATTAAAGCAGAGGCGTTTTCATC